ACCCCCAACATTCTGTGATTCTGTGATTTGTATACCCACAGCTGAGAAGGAGTAAAGGAAGCAGGACCCCCAGTCCATTTACTCCGCCTTAGGATGGGTGTGTGCCTGCCTCATCATCCTTTGGTCAGTCAGTTCCAGCATTTGTATGGACAGCTGCCAACCTTCTTTTCTAACTCAGGAACAGGAAGATTACCTGGCTAAAGAGTAACACATTAAATGTGTTGCATTAAATGTGGAGTAAAATTCTTGGATCAGGACAGTTAAATACGGGAAATGAAAACACTTTCAAAAAGCTAAATACTGTGGTTTGAATTCCTGAGAATATAAGGTAAAGCACCAGCAGAATTCTGTGCTGATATTTTTTTCTCAGGTTCATATTGATCTGTAGTTCAGCACTATATTTAGAGCAAGAATTGTTTTTAGTTATGATGAACAAGCAGTGCAAGAAGGATATAGTATTACCTGAACACTTATTTCACTTTGTATCCTGAGTGGGCATCCTCTACCTTCTTCCCCTCCTCCCACTCATTGATGTCATATTTCATTTTAGATAATGCAGCAGCAGTGTTTGAAACTCTTATGCCCTGTCTTTTGGTAACAGTTCCATTGTCAAAAAGGTCTTCATAAAGCTTCATTATTTTAGATTAGATTTTAGCTAGATGTTTCATACTGCTTTCTTTTACCAGTTTATCTGAACGGCTTGAGTCACATCAACATGCGGTGTCAGCCTAACTTTGTACAACGGCAAAATGTTAATTTTACATCTTTTTCATCCGATGTCATGGGAGGTTTGGGGTCTCTTCTTGCAGGTGCATCTGTCTTGCATCTTACGATGTGTGAGTGAAATAGATTTCTTTTATTTATTTAAAATTATTTTTTAGTTTCAATTTTCGTATTTTTTTTCCTGCTTTCCCTCAACACTTCGGCTTTGTCTTTCAGCAGGTACATGTTGGAAGATCAGCTAAAATAATATGTTGCAGTGGGTTAGTTTTCATAGCATAACTTAGGGTTTGGAAAGTTCTTAATACTCACTCTAGCTGCTTTATCAGAACTTGTGAATTTTTGTGGATGAAAATCTTATGCATATTTTCATGAACATCAATTACTTGGATTTTTTTTTTCATTTATACAAGAAACCAAGGGCAAGCGTATTCAAAAAGGGAATGATTTTGCAGACATAATGCTTTCAGTAAAAATGTATATTTAACTGAAAAATCACCTGTTGGTGAGCAGTCCTAGCTTAAGCATGCATGATACTTAAATAGAATTCAGTTGTACAAGAATTTTTCTGTGACATCAAGTTGCCTTTGATGGAGTGCATGTTTCAGCATTCAGAAGGAATGCTGAAATGAATTTGTGTATAATGTTTTTCAAAGCAAAAAAAATATAGCCAAGACTGGGATTCTATGTGTTAAGAAAACTCATTCTAGTAATATTACTATTAGAATGGTGTTTTCTAAAACCTGAGCGTTACCAACATTCAAAATTAAGGTTGCATTTAAAAGAAAACCTTAAATATTTAAGGTACAGAAGTGCACAGTGGAGCCATAAATCTACTGGTTACTGATGTGACAACAATGTAAAAAATGTAATTTCAGTTCCTTTTTAGACTAGATGTTTAGGATTTATTTTTACTTTGTTCTCATTGCATCATGATCAGGCATACTTACTATGTGTCTGGAAACTTTGGAGATGCTTTTTGTTGGTGGTGGTTGGTTGTTGCTTTTCAGTTTTGTTTGGTTTCTTTTTTCTTCTTTTTTCTTTTAAGTAGCATGGATGGTGCCTCCCATGTAGTTCCCCACCCCAAAAGAGGTAGTGACAGCTGCCTGTCACAGAATAAGTTTCAAGGTTTCTTTAAATCTCATTAAAAATGGATTAATTTTTCTTTTGAATAAAAAACTAACCCATCTATTGTTCAAAATGTGTTTTAAATTCAGGGAGGTGAAAATAAATAATACACTTTTTTCTGAAGTATTTTAAGAGTACAGTCTGTGCTTTTAAGCATAAAATGGAACTTCGTGCTTATACAGGCGCTTTCTGTCAGCTCTGTATTGGAATGTTAAGGGCTAGTGGTTTGACTAAACTATTGCACCTGGCTGAGCTCAGAGTGTTAGTGAGGGGGCAGTGGGCCCACTGAGTGATGCCTCCAACACAAACCCCCTGAAGTTTCCTCATGACTTGCCTCTGTGTGAGCCAACCAGTGTCCACTTTAACAAAGTTTGCAGGTGTTGGGGAGTCCCCTTCTTTTATTCGGGACAGTGAAGTGTACTCTATATTGAAGTATGGATTTCTTTTTTCAGCCCAACGTGGGTCTTTAACTCCTGCTCTGAGCTAGTTTTTGTGTGCTAATGAACTTGGAATGCAGCACTTCACACCTACCAGGAGGTAGTAACGCTGCATTCCTGTGGGATTATCACATCTCTTCTCTGCTGGGGAGCGGGGAGTAGAAAAGAAGGTGACAGGGAGGATTTCTGAAACTAGTTTTGCTTTTGTGAATATTGCAGTAGTTGAAATTAGTGATAGCCATCAGCGCACTTGTAGCAAGTGTGGGTAGAGCCCTTCCCATATCTTCATTGGTGAAGCCTGGCCATGATGATGATGATAGCAGCAACTGAAGGATTGGCAACTCCTCAACACTCTGGATTGGGGAATTCTATCAGCTTCCTGTCTAACCTTTGATTTAAAATATTTGCACTAGTAATGTGCTTTTACCCACAGCTGTGAGTCACTTGCTGTGGCTTCCCAAGGTGCAGTGTGCACATGAATTCTGAAACAAGACATTGGATTTACTTTAAAATAACTTAAAATTAATGCGAGTTTTTGTGTTTCTACATAACTTCACTTTCCAATGCCATGTTGTTGTTAGGGAATTCTTTATACCTGTATCAAAGAGAGGAAAAAAAAATTCCGTTCACCCCAATAATGATGCAAGTTAGAATCGAGTAAAATGGAGTGTTTCATTTGGAAGAGGCCTTTAATGACCATCTAGTCCAACTACCTAGCTACTTCAGGACTGACTGCAAGTTCAAGCGAATTATTAAGGGCATCATCCAGATGCCTCTCAAATGAGTTAATTTTAAGCACCTTGGTGCTTGTGGCTTGCCCGTTAATCCAGCTCCTGAATTTCCAAAGCGTGACTGTGGGGATCTACAGGCATACAGTTGGAATATTGGTTTGACTTTGCAATTGAAATATTTTGGTAGAGTGGAGGTGGAGTAGAAATCTTTTTGTCCCTAGGTAGAAAGGAGCAACTGAGGCATTATGGAAGCAGTGAGAGTATCTTGCAGGACTCAGCCGTAGGTGATTGTTTGCTGTGCTTGCTATAAAAACCGGAGAAAAGTTTTATTTGTTTTTCTGAGTTGAGAAGTTGCCACATCTTTTATTTACTGGCACAATGAGTACTTTACACACTAGCCTGGGGTGTGGAACATATATCCTGTTATAAAATGTTTCTATTACCTAGTAGATTTTTCTTGGGAAGCTCTGAGGGACAGAGGAAGGATCTACTGTTAGTATTTATAAGTGAATTAACACTACCTCAGTGAACATTTTTTTTATGTCATCATGTAAAATGGACATCTTACATGGAATCTGTTATTTCTAATGTTTCATGACAGTTGTGGATACGTGATGTTAATGTCTGCAAAGTTTATAATGTCTTCATATATAGTAATTTCTAAAATGAGAGACATCATTGATTAAAAAGGAAATGCGTGTGAAGTCATGCTACTGTCTTCTTTTTTATAGGGATGATGATGTCGCAGTTTAGTATTTCTCAGAATTCCATGCGTGGAAGTCCTGCATCTTCCAATTATCAACAAACCACTATCTCACATAGCCCTTCCAGGTACTGCTTGCTTTTAAATGGGGTGGGAGTGGCAGCAAACTGCAAATTCTTCCTGTGGTGAGGGTCAATTAATTTTTTCAGTATATGAGGAGAAAGTGGTTGATGTCAAGACAAATTTTACATTTTTCTTACAGCAAGGTGAGATTCTTCAGGTGACAAAGAAACATCTTTCTGTCAGTGAATTAATCTTTGTATTCTACAGATTAGTCATGATTCTCCGGTTGTTCTCCCTCCCATAATTTTGCAAGTTTTCTTTCCTGCTTAAGGAGTCCCCCTGCCTCCTTTCACCCTTCCAGCTGTTTTCTGCCCGTGGCAGAGACTGAGACTTGTGGCAGTAGTTGTTTAGGGAAATGAAATGCTCTTTATCTGCACAAATCCCAGTATGCCTTTTTAGTTTTATATCTAAAAGGGATGTTGCAGGTGTTTTTTTTGAATTGTGAATATTACAATAAACATTACGAAGTCTTGTCAAAATCCTTCCAAAGTCCTTGTGGTAAATACTTTGCCATGTCTATGGAAGCTTACCTTCACAGAGTTGCTATCTAGATCTAAGGGTTGTGGAAGTGTGTAATGTACTTTCTGAGGTATTTACTTGATTTATTTTTGTTTTGAAGATCTCATGTAGGAATGTTATAATATACATATAGTATTGTCATGAGCTTGTGTTATTATTATGGCTTCCTATCAGTAGGATCAGTCTAAGATAAAGCCAGTGAAGTAAGTTTTGTTCAATGAACTTTGGGTCAGTTCCTACCTAACTGCCTATCACATTCCTGTGTCTCAGCAGTATAGTTCTGGGAGATAAAGTTCTTTGAAAATCGTATTGGAAAAAATCATGTTTAGAGTAGGTGGCTCCTTGATCATCCTAGTTGTTAAGTAAAACTTAGCTGTAGCTTTCATTCAAATTTCTATGACAAACTTCTGGAAATTGCAGATCTTATTTTAGTGCGTATTTTTGTCATTGTTTCCTTCCGCTAGGTGGAGGTCTTATGAGTGCTTTTTATTCTATTCATTACTTTTGCTAGTGCAATACCTGATAACTGAAGTTGGAAGGGGATCAGTAGCTTAAAACACTGCTTTTGAAAGAGATTCTTAATTGTGTTGGAATTTTGTATCTGAAGGAAGTTGTGGTATTCTGAATGTATAGCATTCCAAAGGAAATAATAAGTTTGTCTGAAGTTACTTTTCAAACTTCTAAAAACTTTTTTAAAATTGATTTTTAGCCGGTTTGTGCCACCACAGACAAGCTCTGGTAACAGATTTTTGGCACAACAGAATAGTCCAGTGCCTAGTCCATATGCTCCTCAAAGCCCTGCAGGATACATGCCATATTCACATCCTCCAAGTTATACACCACATCCTCAGATGCAGCAAGGTGAGTCTGTAATGTTAGCTTTATTTTCTGTCTCATGTCAGCTTTACCTTCCATGTGCATGTTTAACATCTTTCTAATTTCTTTCAAGTAGTGACATGCTTAATGCAGGTCTTTGAGTTGGGAGGTATGTTTAAGGTTTGCTTTCCTGACTGCACAGTGTGGTAGTATATACTTTATTTAAAGAAAGTAAAAGGGAAGAATAAAAGGTAAACCACACATTCTTGTTGCATTGCTCCCCCATGTACACCCATTTTGGATAGTTGTCATGTGTACAGGACAACAGTGTAAAATCAAAACAAACCAAAATCATATTGGTTTGCTGTTGCCATCATTTGTCTGTATTAGCGAAGACGAGGGTTTTTTGCCAATGCAATGTATATTTTGCTGCCAGCTTATTTAGCCTTACCAAACCTTTGTAGTGTCAACTGTTTGCATTCTATGTTGGCTACAATTGTGCTCACAGTATGAAGTAACTGGCAGACGTGACCTTCAGAATGAATGAATTTCTTTGATTTTAGAAAAGGAAAAAACAATCTTGAACAACATGAATACTGTTGTATTATGTAGTCATTTTTTGGTTGTAAGAAGAATTATTGCTGGCTTCTTTTAAATAATTTGGTCTTAAAGTTTAGCATTGTGCTTAGAATATATATAGCTGTTCTCTATGCAGTGCTACATATCTTGTGAATACCTGGGAAGTTACTAAAGGTAACTCAGTAACATCTGCTATTACAGTGTATTCTCTGAAACTTTTTAAGAGTTAAGGAGTGTGTGATTGTATCAGTATAGTTACTTCTGGTTTTTTTGTATTTTAGCTTCAGTATCCAGTCCTATTGTCACAGCTGGGATGAGGAATCTCCATGAAAATAAAGTTTCAAGTCAGTTGTCCGGAAGTTCAGCTAACCATCATGCTGATAATTCTAGACATGGCTCAAATGAAGACTACCTACAGATGGTGCACAGGCTAAGTAGTGATGTATGTTGTCTGAATCAATTTAGTGATAAATACTTACTATGGTAAAGCAAGTGTGTGTTTAGTTGCATTAGAAGTCAGATATCTTAAAATGTTGTTCATGTATAAAACCACTGAAAATGTGTTTCAGTCTTAGATGTGTACACTCAAGCACACAATTTTAATGTGCTAGAAATTTTTCTAGGTCTCTTTTCTTTTGGAACCATTTGTAATATTAATTCTGATGAAATTAGGAAGAGTACAAAATCTTTATAATCTTATGTGTGAGTTCATTTTAAAGAAATGGTAGAGTGTCTCTAAAATTAATGTAGCAATATGTTGATGCAAACAATGCTGGATTCTGAATATGTTATAGTTAATTGTCTGTCTGAAGATCCCTGCCAACTGTCTTTTAGACTTCATGTTTGAGTTACCTATTGAGTAATACAGTGGTGTTGTCAAAGGCAAGAATTCCTAGTGTTATTTTTTTTACTGGTCTGTTTTGTGCTCTTATGGCCCAGTTTCTTTGTAACAGATTTTCCCTTAGTGACTGTTTTGCATGAGAGAAATTCCTACTGAAATCTTGAATCTAAAGGAGAAATCAACAACTATCATCTCTATTTTTTGAACTACTGATTATTTTGAGGAGGCCGGTTAGCTCAGTGTTTTGAGTGTGGTGCTGACAACAATGACAACACTGAGGTCGCGGGTTCAGTCCCCACTTGGTCCCCATGTGTTGCATGGTCTAGTCGAGAGGCTTCTGTGCCCATGACAGGGAGGTTGGACTAGATGATCTCTAAGGTCCCTTCCAGCCTAGGCCATTCTATGATACTATGATTTTTCTTGTTGATATTCTTAGTTACATATCTGACACGCAATCTCTTAACAGCTCATAAGGGGAGAGCACTTGAGTTGCAATATTATTTCTCCGTCAAGCCCTGGTGGCAAGCTTTTTTTTTTTATTATTTTTTTGTGATTGAGTTTGTTTTATCTAGCTTAGAAAAACCATGGGCAACTCTGGTCTTCCTTAACTAGTGAGTGCACTATTAACACCCTTAAAAATATAAATCCCTTGCTAGGATTAGTAAAATAGAACTCCACGGAAATTATTAGTTTTATTACTCATTTTTTTTTAAAAAAACCAAGAATTATGCTGATTAAAATACAAGCTAAGAATTAGTATCTTAAATGAAGTATTGTGATGAAGAAATCTATCAAAATACACAGGCATCAGATATTTTTCTCAGTCTACTTGAACAATGCAGATTTTTCAAAATAGGAAACTGTTCTTAACATTAAATGTACATATATCTCGCAACTATGTTAAAAACACACTATCAAGAGAATCTTGAGTTTCTTAAGACAAGATATTAGGATTGTTATTTAGTAATTTTAAAAGAAGAAGTATTTAAACAAAATGTTGTAATCCAACCAGTGCAGCCACGTCTTAGTTCATGAAAACTTAAACATGAAACTCTTTCAGAAAGGACAAACTGTGAAAACATAAAGCATACCCTTATTGCTTCGTTTAACTGTAGAAGTACTAAACGTCAAAAGTAGTAAACATCGTAAACTTTTTTATCCCTTGGTGTAGTTTCTTAATGGGGCATATGTGTTGTATTTGTTTGTAATTATACCTTTAACAGCTGATTTTTTAGCTGTTATACAGAAAACACTCCAGAATTTGGATGAATTGAAGGTTTGTATCTATGTATGAATAATAAAGAATCATAGTGTTGCAGGCTTTTCAGAAGCAGTGTGACCTTTGGAAAAAATAGTTATGAATACTGATTATTAAATCATAAAACTTTAAACCCTGGATTATTTTAAATATTTTTATTAGTTTTAGGATTTTATTGCTTTAAAAATGGAGTAGTTACAGGATGTTGTTTATTTGAGATATATGATTTTACAAAATCACTAAGTACACCCTCAAAGACTCAGTACACATACATTCAATTTAAGGATGATTTTTTGGTAAACTTGAGAGCATTTCTAGAATATAAATTTGTGCTTACGTATCACCTTTTGATGATGGTCTGAATTAGAAGACTGCTAGAAGACTGCAGGTGAAGCACTTCTGAAAATCTGTCAGCTGTGGTAGGAACAGCATGTGTATCCGAAAGGTCATCTGCCTAGTTAGTCTGTTTAGTCAATTTAATAAAAGACATCTCTGCCTGTGCCCTTGGTAATCACAGGCAGAGGACCTCTCCTATCCTATAAAACATATATGCTAAAAAGTTGCTAAGCATTTTTTTCAGTATTTTGGAGGGAGTTTTTAAGATTTATTACAAGTGAAAGATATGTCAGGTTTGAAAAAATGAGCTCCATAATTTCAACGTAGTAGGTAAATTGAGTAACTCATCAGGAAATAATTTTGTTTTAACTCACAGTAACAACATATAAGTTTAAAATAGAGTTCTTTTTATTGCAGTGAATCTGAATATTAGATTTCTTTGCACATGAGTCTTTCCTCACATGGAGCAACAACTCTTGCAAGCACCATTGTAAAAATAAGTGTAGTTAATAGCACAACATGAGTGTTAGATTCATTGTACTCTGGGAGGAAAAAAAAACGGATTTGTTTTTTGAAGTGCATATGGATGGTGAAACTGATGAAATATGGTTTCTCACAGATTTTCTTTGGACTAGTATGCACCTTCAATCTGTAAATTTCAAACTCTTTCGTTTTCCCTAAGCAGTGTCAACTATGCCTTCCAAGGCGTAACATAAACTTCCCAGCGGACAGTTGTACATGTGGAAGTTGACAGTTTGGCCATTGTCAAAGAGGATGTACTTGCCCATTTATGCAGGCTTCTATCCCCTTGTAATGCAAGTGGAGCTTTCTAACTGACTACCGGCTGCAGATTTTTCCATGCAGACACGTGAAAACATGATTACAGTTGAGCCTTCTAACATTTTATTAATCAGGTAGAAATTGATCAAAAAGAATAAAAGGTTACCACATGGATAATTCAGGTTTGGAAAAAAAAGTTAAGTGAAAGACCTCTGTGTATTCAGATGTCTCGGTAAGAGCTATGTTAGAATATTAGCTACTGAAATAACCAATTTAATTAGGACACTTGCAGTGTGTTTATAGAAATTTTCTCTTCATAGATATAGGGGATGTTAGTTTGTTCTTTCCCAAAACATTCCTAGAGATGTTTTACAAAAACTAGTGCAAAAAAATGGGAAATAGTGTTTTATAGAAGTTTTAAGCCTAGTTAAGGCTATGGGTAAATGAGTGTGCTTGTGACCAGCAGAGGGCGCTGTGAAAGCAGTAAGAAACCACGTAGAACATGAAGTGGGAATATGTATGGTGGTTTGCATAGTTAGTTTTAAGATGATATGGGCGTTAAAAGACAGATTTACATTCTTAAAGATAGAGCTTGGACATCATTACATTCCAACACTATTATATTGTGAAGAAATCTGTCAGAAATTGAGTTCCATTGAAGGAGGTTGTTTCTGTGCAAAACTGAGAACACTAGAATTTGTTTGCCGTGCTGGGGAAGTGCTTCGTATTGCCATTGAGTTGTTTGCTCTCTAACTGTCAAGACAGGCAAATAACAAGCTAAAGTCACTTCAGTTGTGTTTTGCATGAGACTGTGTCAGCTGCTGCAGTAGGAGTGCTGGAGATTTTGTTCAGTCCTGATGTGTCTTTGCTGGAGGATAAAATACAAAGTGTTAATTTAACTGTGAAAGTAAGATGGCATAGGTAAGTTTTAAAGGTAGAGTAAGAGGGAAAAATGGTGAGTTTGTTTCAAAAACTTGTATTTTATGCTCAGTTTCTTTCAGTTGGTGTTGTACGGAGGTCATGAATCAGCTCTTCATATCATTACTATGAATTCTTTTAACTGATGAAAACCAAAAGTGCTTACTTAGCCAGAAGACATGTACCTAGATTTATTTCTGTGTGCATATTCTGGTTATAGATTCTTAGGGCTGATTGAGCTTTGGAATATTGGCTATAGAATAGTCTTGTAGCAGCCTAAATTTCAAAGATTTTTATGCAAATAAGTATTTTTCTAATATATCCTCTGCTTTTTTGTCCAACCCATTTTACTGGTATATGTACTAATTTCAGTCTTTATTTTATCTAGTGTTCGTGTTCATAATGTTAATTTTTTATCATTGTCACTTTAGGACGGCGATCCTTCAATAAGGAATGCTGCATCTTTTTCCTTGAGGTCACCACAGTCAGTCTGCTCTCCAGCTGGAAGTGATGGGACCCTTAAAGGTAGTCTAGCAGTCATATTTATCAATGTTTTTTTCTCAATGTTAAAGAACTGAGATTTTGAAGGGGTATTTAGTTATTTCTCCTAACTTATGTATTCAGATAGTACTAGAGAGTATGTCATTATTTGGGTACAAAATTATTTTGAACCCTGATCCAGAAGAAATTGCTGAAGCTCCAGAAATTTGCTAATCATCCTTCTAAACAAGGCTCAAAATCATGGAGGACAGAAGGATTTTAAATCCTTTCCAATACAAGGATTAAATTCTTTGTAAAAATTATTTCAGTTGCTTTATGTAAGAAATGGCTTAAAGGCAGCATTACGAGTACTGAACTCTCAAGCAGCTCAAAAGTGTTTTAACAGGCAACACTTGTCTTAATTGTAATCATGAAATGCTAAGAACATGAAATTAAAAGTAGTTCGGTGAGCTTAATACATGCAGCATTAATGAAGCCTGAAGACCTTAGCTGTGGAGAAGGAGTAGAGTGAACTTGTCAGTCAGTTGAGAAGGAACAGAAAAAAGTCTGCTCGAAATAATTCTTTATATTAAAAACTGGTATGCATACTGCTGTTTTTAATATTATCCCTAAGAAGCAATGACTGAGATACATGAGTCTTAGCCACGGGATTTAGTCACATTCTTGCTAATTACTTTTTCAATGCTTCAGTATTTACATGGCAATAGTAGAAGGATACAACAGTGCTTTTCTTCTCTTTAGACCTGAGGGAAAATTAAGTCTTTCTGGATGGGTCAGATTAGGTAGAGAGGGAGAACAGGAGCTGGGGTTGATTTCAGAGTAGGAGAATGTGTTAGCCTTGTGCAGCCTGGATGAGGGATGTCTTTGGCAGGTTTGGACCTTAGAGCAGCCTTTCTGTATCTGTGAGATGATGAGGAAGACATGAGTCAGGCTTTGAAGTGTTCAGGAGGAAGAAGGAGATACAATGGACTTAAATAGATTTAAAGTAGCTCTAAGGAAAAACTTTTTCACTGTCAGGACAGTCAAGCATTGGAAAAGGTTGCCCAGTGAACCTGTGCGTTTTCTATCCTTGGAAGTCTTCAAGATCAGGCAAGGTAAACCTCTGCCAAGTGTGGCCTTGCTGTCACCCTGCTTTGAGCATGAGGGTGAACTAATGACCTCCTGAGGTCCTCCCTAACTGAATTATTTTATGATCCTGTGACTGCTAAATCATCCCGTGTTTCATCTTCTGTAGGCATATACTGCATACAGAAGAAATGTGGCTCAAGTGGCAAGTGAGAAGTACGTGTATAGCACACTGGCAGCATCTCTGTTTCAGGAGGTCTTGCACTAAAGGACTTGTAAGACATGCAAATGGCAAAGACTAAATGTGGTTGTTTTTGTCTCTTGGATGTGCTTATCGGTTTAACAACATCGTGAATGTAAGCTCCTTCCACTCAGATACATGATTGCCTCTCAGCCAGGAGAATATTTGAATTCTTTTTTTGTTAAAGTAGCTGCTGTTTCAATGGACTGTCTCAGAACCACGTTTTGAAGGATCACTTTTTCAGATTATTTATGAAAACAATCCAATTGTATGGTGCAGATTGCAATGTTTCAGTGTTAGAGAGGCTGGAAAAGTGCAGGTGGAGCTTTTTTATTTGTTTACATATATGTTAGTCTTTTCCTATTGATGAAGCACGTAACATAAAAATACTGTCATTAATGGTGGTACCGTTTTGTCTTCTTAAAGTGGCTGATGAACTTTGATTGAGAGTACACGTTCTTGATGCTGCAAGAATCTTGCCAGACATATTCTCATCCTGTGTTTTAAAAATGTATGGAAGAACTGTGTATAGTTAGTGTGTTGTTTAGAACATGAGATCCCTGACAGTGAGATTTAGGTCTATGATTTGGAGTGATAATTGTGCTTATAAATTTTCCAGTGATGAACAAGCAGAGAGTACCTATGGTGAGCTTTTTGTTTCTACTCACATACGTCCCGGAAAGTTTGGTTGACAAGTTGCAAAGTTTGATATAGAAGATTAGCAAAACACTTAGCTGTTTGATTAGGAGGACAGCAAGAATGGCACCAGATATCATCAGTCTGTAGAGAGATCTCAGGAGGGATGTTAAAATATCTAAGGTTACTTATATAACACAGAAACTTGAGGCAATTACCAAAGGTATGGTTACAGACTGCATTTCTGTACTTTTGACGTGGAAGCTTCAAGTACTTCTGGAGACTTGGAGAATGTAATGGCACAGACTTCAGTTAGTCTCAAGACTGAGTGTAGCTGTCTGATTGACAGAAACTGAATGAGGAAGAAGTTCTGTTTGCAACTTGAACAAGTATTTGAGAGATGGCAGAAGCTGTATTTGATATTTTGGTTGGTTATTCACTTACTCAGTGGAGTAAAATTTCAGAAAATTTACAGAAGTTTGTTTTATTTCTACTCCAGCAAAAGTATTAGAAGCAGCTGAAGTTACATCCATAAGTTCTAGGCTGGTCTTTATGCTTTCTCTTTTATGTAAATTGTGTATTTTTAGCTATGCAAATGGAATAATGGCTCTGCTTTCATGCTATCATCTGTTACCACATCTTTCTTAAAAAAAAATCGTATCTGTGAATTCATCTATGAAGAATCAATGCAGAGGATTTTCCTTTTGTTCATCTCATAAAATATTCTGTGGCTTCCATTCCCCAAGACTATGACTACTCATCAGAATCCTTTATCCAGTTGTTCTACTTTCCATGGCTCTAAAATTGATATTTTCTGAAGAATTTGGAAAAATTACTTGTATTTTCTTAGGGATTTATAGGACTTCTCCAGAGACATTCCTCTACACTTGGTCTCTGAATGTAGAGTGGGTGGCAGGGAGAATTAGGAATCTTCTGAAATCTGTCGTACAGACCTCAGTGCTTTTAAAGTTACTTTTAAAAGAAATATTACCATCTCATTCTCTCTCATTCAAAAGAAAGGTGGAAGAATTTTTTTCAAATATTTTTTTTTCTGACAGGACCAAAATAGACATTCGTTCTTGTTTATTTCTTCAAGTCCTAATTTTTTAAGCAAGGGTGCTTCTGAATAGTTCTGAGCTAGAAGAGCCAAAGCTGCATTTTTTCTGAGACATTTAAAGCTCTGGAAAAAGTGGTGGGAGTGTTCTCTGAAAACTATTGAAAGAGTATGTGAAAAGTGAATACAGTTGGTCCCTAAAAATTTCCCAAATGTATGTTCTTCTTTGTCTGCCTCATATGCTATCCCTTTAAGTTAGAATTTTAAGTTGTGCTCTTTGAAAACAGATGTCAACATTATCTGTTACTCAACATAAGTAATAATTTATTTATATCTAGTGCAAAACATTGAAAGATTTCCAGAGGAAGATTCCGTGATTTTAGAAAATACAGCAGGAAAGGACTTTGGGGATTCCCATCTTGTTACCCTCATGTTGGATGAGCCATAGCAGTATCACTGCTAGTAACTTTGATCTATTTTTTGTGTTAAAACACCAGCAATGAAGTTTCCTTATTCTTGCCATGCAGCTTCTTCAAATCTGTAGTGCTGGAAAGCTTTTCTCCTAATACTTAGCCAGAATCTTTTTTGTTGCTGTTACATGCTTCTAGATTTCTTTCCAGTGGGCAGAGAAAAACAATTCATGTCTCTTTTTGGTTTTTTTTCCAGTAGAAGTCACTTTCATGTGAAAGAACTTTATCATGTCCAGCATAATCTAATCTTCTGAGGAGCAATGGCTTCTTTCATCTTTACAGAAGTCATCATTTCTGAGCTTCTGATTGCTTTTATCTGAATTCTAATTGGTCTGCATTTGTCTTGATGTTGTACTGTCCTAAGTCATAGATGCAACTGTATTTGAAGACTAAGAAGCATGAGTAGTCAGAAAAGTAGCATAAACAACTTTGTTCGATACTGCTGTTGTGTGAGAGTATGGCTGCGCCTTGCGCATAACAGATTCATGTTGCAAGTTTTTTCAAACACATTACTGTCTTCCTGTAGACCTTATCTATCTTCCTCTTATGTTGTTACAATTGTTCTTTTTCTCAGTTGAATAAAAGGGTTGTCCTTCTCACTGAATTTCTTCTGTTTCAAAAGGTTCTTCAAATTAGTCAAGAAAATTGTAATTTTTTTTTCTGTTTTTAAAAGCAGTTGTGGGTCTTTCTCAAAGACTCAACAACAAAAGCTGTTACGATCTTTAGATTAGTAAAATATTCTCTAACTCTGTTACATGCGTATTTATTAATGATAAATGTTTTAAAGCATTCAGATAGTGCTCTGGAAAGCTGCACTTTTTCACCTATTTTTACTTTATCCGTTTTTACCGAAGCCAATTGAACACAATTTTGCAGTAGAGTATATTGCAATCTTACAGTACTTTTTCTACAGAGAAGCCATGTAGAAGGCCGTGCTAATGTCCAGATGTGATACTCAGTTCTCTTTAATCCACAAGACCTACTGCTTTAGAGAATAAAATTATTGTGATTTAATGATACTTACTCTTAACAAATGCACTTTGGAATGTTACCGCTTATTATTATCTCAAACCTTACCGAGAAATTTGTCTTGTAGTATGTACTTAAATCATACAGAATATGTATGGGCTGGGCAGCCCTTTACTATCCTTTTGAAGAGGCTGTTACTCCCTTTTTGAGTCTGCTGGAGGCACAAATTTTCAAGGTGATTGTTACCAGTTCTTAGACTTGTTTAGCCAGAGTTTTAGGGTAGATGGTTCTGATCGCCCTGAAAACATGCCATTTATGTAAAAGTGGTAAATAAGGTCATAGTAAATTTAAAAAATCAGATACTTCTGCTTATGAATTGTAACTGCAGTCTCTTAAAATCTTTGGACAGTAGTGTGTTCTTCAGATTCTGTCATCACCAGATTATTACCCTTTCCAACAGGCAAACATCAGTATGAATATGGATGCTCTGGTTCTTTTCTCGTCCAGCTTCTGCAATTAGGAATTTATTTGCAGTATAATTACTCCAATATAAAGTCTCATAATCCACATGTAGCACATATGCATTCCTTAAAACCTCTCTTTCCAAAGACTTTTCCCACAAAAAGTCTGGAATGCTGTGTCCAGGTTTGTACAACAATTTGCTACCCACTTAAGTAATATTCCTGGAGTCTCGAGGATCAGTTTACCATGAATTTGAAAAGGCGTAGCACTTGAATGTTCCCAGAGTTTCTCTCCAAAGTGCTATGAACGAAGTGTTAAGACACTTATCTGGATTTGTTCACTAGCAGGTTTTTTCCAGCTTTCATGCATAGGGAATGATGCTTCTGACAAAATGGAGTTGAAAGACTGTCAACATTTGGAAACCTTTACCTGCAATGGATTTAATGGAATATGAAGATATTTTTTTGAGTGACCCTTTGGAAGTTGTTGTGGATATGGAAAGCTAATAATTCTGAAAAATTCTGATTAAAAAAAAAAAGTGAACCCTAAATTGCTGGTAACCTTATTAGTTGTTTATTAACCATGTGGGTCACAACCATGTGATCAGTGTTGTGACTTTGGTGTATCAGCTTTGAAAGGCAAGTGTTCTATTATCTGAAGAGGCTTAGGGATGATCAGAAAAAGTATCATGAATGCTTAAATAAGATGCTAGCACTGTGGTGTGATTAGAAAGCATGGAGACAAAAAACATGGAGGTGTTGGCAATGGTCAGAAGCTTACTTGTTTGTTACCCAAATTAATGATGCGTAATGAGGAAGTGAAGCTAGGGATAAACAAGCAAGAAGTGGTTCTGAAACTTCACATTTATAAGAAGACTAAGTCACTTTCAGTGCAGTGTGTTTCATAGTTGCTTGCGGTATAGAGGATATGTTAAGAAATCAGTCAAGAGTCACAGAAGAAGGACAAATTGCTACAGCAGTTGATAAAACCTCTTCCATAGCCAGTGCCATGTGCCACTAGGAATCAATAGGAAGACTAATGGATACAGAGAACAGTCCCAGGATTATCATCGGTGATCAGATTGACTGTTACTGAAAGCTGTGGAGGTATGGAGAATGGGGTGTATTTGTTCTGTGGAGGGGCCTTTTTTCCTGTTGATGTTACCTGCTTCTCAACAGTTGTCTGGTTGACCCTCAATATTTGCTGTTCAGGGAGCAATGTACAATGACCTTCCCAAATTAATTGAGAATCTCTTTTTATCTCCTAAGTTTTAAATATAAAAGGAGATTGCACAAAGTTGGTATACTGATACTGTGGAAGATGAGTTACAAAAAGTCAGAATTTTTTCTTGCATAGCCCTACATTTAGACTCGAAAGCTGCCTCCGTATTTCTCTGTTCTGAAAGAATATTCTGGAATTTGGTTCATTCTCAAAGATAATCAAATGATTACTACACTGACAGCATTTTGTAGAACACTCACCCTCAGCCATGGAATCTCAACTGGTTCAGCAATCAGGTCGTAACTCTCTATCTGTATATTCCTTCCACAAAAATACTTCTGTTATCAACTAGTCTTGTAAGAGATTTGTTCTCAAATGTGTAATGGTTCAAGCCTTCCTCCACATGAAATATTCCAGACTGACGTCAACAGTTACAGGCACAACTCTCTCTGTATTATAACAGGTGATGTTTTGTCTGAAGTCTGCATCCAGCAGAAGGTCCACTGTTCAGAACTTCAGATGTCTGTGATAGAGTGAAATTGTTCCAGAATGCATCATCTTTTTCAATTTCTTTTCACCTCAGTCCACGGGCATTGTAGCTTCTAAGCCTCCTTGTTGCCAGAGGCTTAACCATCGTTAGACATCCCAGAAATACATGAAGCTATTGCCAGAATGTGTACTCTTAAAATGCAGTTTATAGGCTTTATTATCATCACCTTTCAGAAATTTCCTTCAGGAGAAAGATACTTTCAAATATCTATTCGTAGTGCTGCCTAGGAAAGGGAAAACTTTACTTTTGTTTCTTTATTTACTGAGTTCTAAGTATATTCAATGGAATGCATTGAAATCCTTCTGACCTCCTCAAGTCTACCCAAAGATGAAAACCACCTTTCTGTTGCTGCAGCATTATTTTTCAGCCTGAAAAATACCAAATTAATACCAAATCAGAATAATCGTGTCATATTTACTTAAAAGTTTAGGACAAGAGAGAATCAAATCTGTGTCCTCTATTTGAAGTCTAACTGAAAAACAGTAAATGTTCCATTGTTGCATCTTCGGGAGTACTCATTTAAAAGATAATTCGAGAGTAAGATATCAGCAAGATCTCTGTGATAAGTTTTGAGCTGCCTCTAGTATTTGTAGAAATAAAAAAGCAGCTTTTACTTCTTGAGTGGTAGTCAGTACCGTAGAAGAAATCGATAGCTAAGGATTTCTGCTCTATGTTACGCTGAGACAAATCTCCAAAAGAGAGATTGAGGGGGGAAGACAGAGGAAGCATCACAATAGGAATCTGTGGTGAAAAACAAGTGACAGGTCTTCATAGGGTATAGCCAGGACTTCAGTACTGGTGTTTGAGTTTGCTATCTAATTTGAGGAGCGGGGATAGAGGAGTGGAAACATTTTCAGAATCAGAATGAGTGGAAACAGGGCTTCCCAATGTTGTGGATGTTATTGACATAATATGGAGTTGTCAAGAATAAGTAATATAAACCCATTTTTTGCCCTGCTTTCTATGTACAGTAGAGGACTTGTCACAGAATGTGCTAGGGACAGAAAGTAAGTATAGCAGTCTGTGCAAAAAAGTCATCAGTAAAGGCACACCTTTCGTGTGAACTGAAGGTTTGCTAGCCGTATCTATTGCTTTTATCATCTACAGGTCAGTACATTGCTTAATGATTCTTAGTATTTCTTAAAATATCTGGTAGAAATTTAAGCTGCAGAATAAAGCTGCTTTCTTATTTAGTGGTGTTTCTTACATGAAGCACATGGAGACCTGTGTTCCAATTAGTTTTTGATTGTTGTTAGAAGTGCTGACATATTATGACCTGAAACAGAATGACTAGTAATAATCTCAGTCACTGCTTTCTGAGGACCAGTATTTCCCAGTGGACAAATGGAACCTGATAAATAATTGCTTTAACAAGAGGAGGATGTTCCTACTGATCTAGCCCATAGGCTTTTAAAAAAATTATTATTAAGCTAAAAAAAAATCTGAAAATTATAACTGGGACAGGTTTTCTGTATTTTTAAGCTTTTTTCCTTCATTGACAATTATGGGGAGCTGGTTTAATTTAATTACCAAGAATTTAAGTGTAATTAATTGGAGAATTTTTAATTTTAAAAGTCCTCTCTTAAAATTTCTCTAGATACACTCAAAACCTGACAGGAATGCATGTAGAAGTAAAAATTCATACATTTAAAAGAAATAAAGGATAAGAGAATGGTAGCAAAATGCCTTAAGACAATAAGCGTTTTCTAGATAGTAATGAGGGGGTGAGGTTGGAATGAGTTATCTAAAATAAAAAAAAAATTGAAAATAAGCTCTCAGAATCAAAGTTAAGGAGGTTGCATATGTTTTGATATTTAAATTTATTTATTTAAATTAGAAATGTGTGGCAGAAATGGCTAATGCCTATACACTGATCACTAAGTCTTCCTCACTGGACCTTATTAAGAATCTTTTTGATCTTTCCTTTTTCTGTAGTTAACTTGCTTTCACTGACCATTTTTAATAGTTGATATTCTGAACCTGCAGGTACTATTTTCATTTATTCTTTCTTGGTGGTGGGTTTTTTTGTTCCATCTTCCCTGAAATGATCCCTTCTATACTTGCAGTGGACTGCTAAAATTCCTAGGAAATACACTGCAATTATCTGGATTACATCTTGATCTAGGAATTATGTGCTTCCTACCAATCTTATTTAGACCTTTTGTGAACACAGATATATGTAGAAATACACATTAAAATTATGTAGGTTATATTTAGTATGTTTTTATATAAACATGAAACAACATAACTGTTCAGTTTTTCTGAATTATTATTCTAGGATCAAGACAACCTTTAATCCAACAATCTCAGCCTCCACCTTATTCATCACCTAGAGATGTTCCCCCAGACATATTGTTAGATTCTCCAGAAAGAAAGCAAAAGAAACAAAAGAAAATGAAGTTAGGCAAGGATGAAAAAGACCAGACTGAAAAAGCTGCAATGTATGATATCATTAGTTCTCCTTCCAAGGACTCCACTAAGCTTACATTAAGACTCTCTCGTGTAAGATCTTCGGATATGGACCAGCAGGATGATATGCTTTCTGGTTTGGAAAACAGCAGTGTGTCAGAGGGTGATATTCCTTTTAATGTGCAGTACCCAGGACAGACTTCTAAAACACCCGTTACTCCACAGGATGTTAACCGCCCACTAAACGCTGCTCAGTGTTTGCCGCAGCACGAACAGACAGCTTTCCTTCAGGCACAACAAGTGCCTGTTTTACAACAGAACACTTCAGTTGCTGCAAAACAACCTCAAACTCCTGTGGTACAGACACAGCAACAGGTTTCGCATCAAGGATCTATACCGTCATATGATGAAGTAGAATTGGATGCATTGGCTGAAATTGAGCGGATAGAACGTGAATCAGCTATTGAAAGGGAGCGATTTTCAAAAGAAGTGCAAGATAAAGGTAAAAGGATTGTGTGTGTGTATACACTATATATATGATATAAATATATATATATGCGTATAAAGCCCATATATATATATATATATAAAAACTTCCTGTCATTGTCACATAGTTCAATTCTGTTACTCAGTGTAGGTTCTTCTGTGACATTCATCTCCATTCCCTTCCAACAGTGAACTGTAATTTCTCATATACGCATTTTTTAATATCTATTATTCTTTATTTGGGTGCCTAATGGACGGAAAATGAAGTTCTTGTGTGTCAAAATTCTTTTTAAACTACTCTTATTTTTGAACTGTGAGACTGAATGAAGTACGATTGACATTGTTTACAGTTTCTAAAATCTCAGCAGTACCATGAGTCAAAATTCGTAATAAGTTTTGGTAGTTGAATTATTAACTATGCATGATGCCTAATATAAGCAAATGCAGGAAAATTATTTTATCCAATTTCTAATCATGCCCACTTTTGAAACTGAAGTGAAGGAGGTGTTAGATTAAAATCAAATCTACTCTTTCAAAGGCAATCTAATGATTGGGTAAGATTGTTGTCTCCAATGTTTGTTCAACTGGATATTCATTATTACGTAGTCATTACAAGCTTTAGAGAACTACCATGTATCTATAGGGTCTCTAGCACAGAACCAGAGGAGCCTCTAAGATATTTTCACTTTAGTAACTGTACTGATTGTCTTAACTGATTTAATTTAATTGATCCTCTCTGGATTTACTTTGCTTTGGTTTTTTTCTATCATTAACTGGTTTGAAGCTCTTATGCTTCAGATGTCTCAAAAGTAGATGATGCAAAGCCCAGATGTATATCTTGAAGATGTATTTTATAAATTAGTGACAGATTAACATGAGTGTTTTTCAGAAGCTTCCTGTGCACTGTGTTTAACTTCTAGTGTAATGCTACTTTATTAGGTGATCCTAAGAAGAATCTTGCAGATTGGAAAACGGCATAAATTCTGATTTTGGAAGTTCATAGCTGAAAATATTCAATTTTGAACATAAATGTGTAGATGTAACTGAATTTATGTGCACTTTGGGTCTTTAAACGGCAGAGGGAGCAAGAGCACAGGTTTTCTCCCTGTTCAGAGATTTTTTTTTTTGTGCTTTGATTGATTGGTGGTGGGACAGAAAAGAGAGTGAGAGTTTGTATGTGTATGTGTGTTTGTAAGTGTGATTGTTGCAATTACTGAGAGGTTTAACTTCTTAGATATTTTTATTTGGTAACTAGATCGAGCCTTTTTAGGAAACATTTGTGAATATATGGAGATAATATGTGCTCACCTCAAATGTAATGAAATGGGAAATTTGTAACTTTGCTTAAATCTCTTCTAATCATTTTAAAGTTATTGATGGAGGACTCTTGGTTTTTCTGCTAGTACCTACAAAGCTGCTTTTATATCCACACACTTCGATTAGAATCTGCAGGACATTTCAGCTGAGAAGCATCTGGAAAAATGGCACTGTATTTTTGATGGTGCACAGCAGCCTTCAGACACTTAGAACAAGACTAAAACATGCATTCTCTTTTACTCTGACTTTGAGGAAATGCCAAGCATTGCTTGTAAAGTTTGTTTACCATACTTACATAGCCAGAGGCAGACTCTCGATTTGTTTCTTTTGTGGTAGCATGATTTTTATCGAATGTGGTCTCTCCTCTTCACCACTACTCAATAACCATCTTCCCAAATAAGGATTGCAACCTTTTGCTGCGCTTCTGCCTGCATTCCCTATCTGGTCTTGGCTCCTTCTGAGTGTCTGCAATTACTGTGAATCGGATTCAAGTGTTGCTGCCTTATATTGGGGCACATGATCACCACGTATTCAGTGGTGATAGGTTGCCCCTGTGCTAGAGAGCCCTCTTCACTTGGGCTTCTGAGGTTTCAGCCATGAATGAGTAGTATTGAGCAGAAGGATTTTTTGCAGTCTTGGGACCGATTTCTTGAAAAGCTGTTTCCTTGGAGAAGTATGGTTCTTATTTTTGGGTAGTGCTTTTGCCATTGCTTCTAAGTTGGTACTGTCTACAAGTTGATGCACTCTGAGATTGTTCTAGTTATAGCTGTTTCATCTGGTGTGACTGCAGGGGGAAGCTTCCTCTGTTGTTTCTATGGGAATATGTTTGTCAGAAATACATACAATAGCTCTTAAATATGTCATTCCTTTTTGTGAAGCTGCTTACTATATTTATGCAAAAGTCTTGCACTTGTGCATTTTAGTACATATACTATAGTTTCAGATCACATCATGTCAAGATATTAGTGTGATTATAGCACATCTAGTTAGAATGAGATGCATAGTGCTAGCTGATGCTTTACAACAGTAAGAATCCCTTTAGGGAACTTAATCGGAATGTTAGCACATGCTAAAACCTACATGAAAGCATCTTTGTTGCTTTTGTAATCAGTGCTTGGGAATACATATTACAGTCGCACTAGACTTTCTGTAAAAGCAACATATTGTCTTCCATAAATTGCTTTGAGTAGAATTGTACTCAAAAGTTTTGATAGTGGTCTCTACTCTCCTTTTAGATGTGAAATCTCTGCAGTACTATGCTTCTTCAAAGGTTTTCAGATGCTTTCTTGTTAACAGTAAGGCTTTGGTTGGATGCGACATGTTCTTTCTGAGGCCTGGCACCAGTAGTGTGGTGAAACTGTTTATTTCAGAGATGCAGAGATATTTTGAAGGGGATTCTTACTAAAAAAAATTATAACTGCTACTCTCACCTAAGGCAATGCTAACATCTCGTTTATTTATTTATGTATATATGAATTTATTTATTTAGCTGTCTATCTGTCTATCTATTGAAAATGCTGAGGTCCTTTTAGTATGTTTGGTACCATTGGGAATGGGGATTGGAGCCCTTTGGTAGTTATACTACTTTCTGTAATAAATCATTAGTTCTAACAAAACTGTTAAAATACTTAGCTTCCACCAAACAAAGTCTTGCATAGTTGACGGAATCTCTGTTTCAGAGGTGGAAATAAGACAGAGGTTTGTAGAAATGCCATCTTCATTGAACTTGATTGTCATGCTTTTTCTTTTTTGAAAAAAGAATTCTTAGTGCAAAGATTACTAATGCAAAATCTAACAGATTTGACCTCATGTGTGTCAGAGGAATTTTATAATATAGAGCTTTTGCCTTATACCTGAGTGCTTTTCAGAGCTCTGTTTTTGTATTTTTTTTTTGGTCTATTTGGATATTGGATTAAGTGGATTATATTTTTTTTTCATCATGATAGAGAGGAGCAAAGTTTGAAAAAGTTGGTTTCATCTTTGTCCTCTTTGTGGAAGGACAAGAGTTCGTCTTCTCCTACTTTTTCCATCAAGGAAGTCTCTCTATATTGATAAATTTTGCAAGTAATTTGTCCGTATCTGGTACTGAAAGGAATAGTTGGAGATTTTGGACATCAAGGCACTTTGTACCAGAATATACTTTCTAATATATTGATTATGTTTAGCTTCAGAACAATTAAATCATGAAACATGAGAAGCTTCAGATCATGAGTTCCCATTGCCCCTGTCACAGTGACCTCTATACCCTCATCAGACACAAGTTGTCAATCAGTAATAGATTATATCTTCTCTTTTGAGAGGTTGTATAGAGTTACAGGTAGATCCAGCTATTATTTATCAAGACTCAGATATCCGAGTTGGACAAAAAAATTATTTGGACAGGCCAGGATGGCAAGGAATTCTCTTTTTCTGCAAACAAGTGAACCATCCTTTGCTTAGGTGCATTTTGATGTTTTAATGATATACTTTCTTTAGAAAGTTAATGAAGCTTCATGCACACTTTCTTCTCATCAATGCCAGTAATCACATTTCCTGTACTACGTGGTGCTGTTGAATACTTGTGAAACAAGTAATGTTCCATATTCAAAACCTGTTTTGTTCGGTCGACTGAAGTTCTGCTTTGTTCACACTCTGAAGTTGACTACTGCAAGAACGTACAGGAAATCCTGTTAAGTTTTAGAAAACTAAGTCCCAGGAATTTCAGATCTTCTCAGGACTTTTTTTTTTTTCCCTTGGTTTGAGGGAATGTTGAGGGAGAAGTTACGTTTTGGTAAGCTGAATTCTTTGCATTAATTACTGCTTTGCACTGAAGGATATGAGTGGATTATTTTTGTGTATAATCAAGCAGTTCAAGGCACTTTTAGACTAAACCTTTCCTAGGGTATTACATTAGATTCTTCCTTACTCTTCAGCATATAGGCTTGCTACTGAATCAATTTTCAAGTTTAAGGTTTACGCCTCAAGGTCTTTCTTACTTTTCTAAAAACCCCAAATACTGTGAATCAGAAGCATTTAAGATATTAATGCTAAAAGGAGCTCTGAGGGTTCTAGGAAGGGGAAAAAGGAAGATAATCTTAAAAATTACTTGGAAAAACCAGAAAGTAACACATCATTTTTCAGACACTCTTTTTCAGATCGCTTTCTTTTTCAATTTCTTTAAGATTTGCTACATATTAATTTTAGCTCTTCCATACATAGTATCATGTATTCATTGTTATATCTTAGGCTACTTCAAAGACACTTTTATGTAATGCATCTGTCTTAACAGGTTAAGTAGTTCTGCATTTACTTAAGTTTGTGAGAAGAATAATGGAGTCGTTAATCACTAACCATTTCATTGGGAGACTAATACTTATTTTTTTAAAACTTAAAAGCACTAGAAGCATTTTTTAAATGAGACAAACCTACTCGTATCTGTGTTTTTCCCTGTATATTTTACCTTTGAGGATCCATTTTACCCACTTCTTTGGAATCTTACTGTGGATTCTTTGAACTGGGAAAAAGTGAAGCTGTAATAACTTGGTTTCCAGTAACTGGACCAGTTAGGGGGCATTTGGATGCCTGTTGTGGGCCCTTCTTTTTTAGTTTGTTTCAAGCCCATAGCAGCAGAGACACACATCCCAAGAGTGTGAATCTGCCGGAGCAAAACTCAAAACTACAGTTATAGGTAAGTAACCATTTTCTCTTACCTTTTAAGTA